TCGGCCCCTATTTGCTAGGTGTATCTCTCCTAAATAGTCCACAGATGCATTGGAGTTGGGGTCCATTTGGAGTAGGTGGTCAGTGGTACTGCTCAGTACTGCTGGCTTCCCTCCTGGTGGCTCTGAGCCTCTTGGGATTGTATTCCTTTTTCCTTAAACAAAAGATTAGCCAAGCATACAACGCTTGGACTGCTCATGTCAGTACAAAGCTCCATCTCTGTCTCAGGTAGTGTCTCATCTTGGAGATGTGGCCTGCTAGAACAAATTTGTTCAATAGTTACCAAACTGTCAGGATACAGTTCTCCTGTTCCAGAGACTGGGAGCAAAGTGGCTGGGCTGGGTTAAGACTCATGATGCCACTGTTCCAGCTCCTTTGCCAGGATAATCCTTGTGGGAGAACGGTCCAAGAGAGCTGCATCTTCCATCCCATAGTTGGATTTTCCCATTCAATGGCAAAGAAAACTTGATTCTATTTGGCCACAAGTACACAAAAGATGATGTCTTCTACATCTAACACACTGTAAAGTACATCTGAATCTCTGGTATTAAGGATTTGGGACTAGCAGATGCCCATCAGTCTTGCACTACAATGACTTAGGCTTTTTCACTGGAAGGAGAGTTAAATTCTGATTGGCATTCACTTAATAACCAGAACTATAAGAGAGAATCTGTTGACTGTTACCAATCCTGACCAGGCACCTGACTTTATAGCACACTGTTTTCTCCTTACGAGTCAGACTCCTGATTTCAGTTTGGTCTTTTTGACCCCCAGGCAGGGGCCAGACCAGCCTTTTCCAGATTGCCCTTCCAGTGCCCTTCTCCCAACTTCTCATCCCAAGGGGCAGCCCTGCCCCCTGACTGTGTGCACAGAGAGATACCCACAGCCTGGCTGCAGCCAGCTGGGCCCCCAGCCCACACCCCCGAGCCCAGCTGCCCTCCCCAAACCTGCTGCCCCCAGCACCCCCATGCCATGCCCTGCCCTGCCTGTGCTGGCCAGGCTGGCAGCTGAGCGTGCCCTGCTTTGGTCCCTCCCCTGGTGCAGCCCAACTGCTCCTTGACAGGACTGGCCTGGTGCAGGCTCAGCTCTTCCTGCAGCTTCTGTGCAGCTCCTCTCGCCTCCCTGGGCCCACAAGGGCATCTATAGGGCTGGGCAGGGACGTGGCACAGGCAGAGGGATTGTCCCTGGCATTCGGACCACATTGCCCCCAGGAGCTCCCTGCAGTGGCAAGGAAGGCTGTTCCCAGGGTCAGGAGCAGCACCCAAGGCTCAGGACACCAGGCACAGCTGGGTACTGGTGGTGTGTAACCATTGGCACGCTGGTGCTGGTCTGTGCTTCGCTTTCCCCGTGGGTAACAGCTGTGCCATCGTGGAAGTGGGTGAGAGTTCCCGTGTCCTGGGGCTGGGTGTAGAAGCAGGGCTGGGCTGAGGAGATCTCCCCTGCCTCCAGGGCAGCAGCTCAGGCAGAGCCAGGCTGTGCCGGAGGGAAACAAGGAGGCAGAAGGGGGGTTTCTTCTCCTTTTTTTCGTCTTCATTATTTTGTTTAATTTATTAATAACTTTTGCATGAAAAAAAGCTAAAGTGTCGAAGTATCTGTGCAGTTCTTCAACATATCTGCCAAACATGAGAATAGAACTGAAAGAAATAAAAAGAAAGTTTGTCAATGTAAACATCTAGGCCCATACCCAAAGCCCCTCTTAAGTCTGTCTAATATAATCTAGTCTGTCACCTGCCATCTACCATCTCCAGTGAAGTGTCAATGGAAGCAGGTCAGAATGTTCCAGTCTGTGACATCCCTCTCTGGCAAAGAGGCCTGGATGTTTTCAGCCCCCTGGTCAATGGGGACGAAGTTGGAGAGGTTCTCCGTTGTTTCCTTGTGCCAGGCACACTCCAGGAAAGCTGTGGCCATGAGGGTTTCATCCAAGCCTGGGTTGTTGTGGTTGGGTTTGGTGAGGACTCGTTCCTGTTCTTGGGGACAGTCCGTGTGCTGCCCTTGTCCCGCCCAGTCCAGGTGGGGTGTTATGGGCTGGATGGGAGGCGGGAGCTCCAGATCCCCAAGGATGGAGAAGTCTCCTTCGTCCAGGTGGTTGTTCAGGAGAGCTTCCCAGTCAGTGTCACCCTTCAGCTCGGTCAGGTCATTCCGCTCCTCCTGGCTCCCGGAAGCAGAGCTGGGAAGCCGAGACGCCTTGGCCGTTGGCGTGGGCTGCTCGCGCTGCTGCCCCGCTTCCTTCTCCACGCCATGCCAGTTCTGGCTGTTTTCAAACTCTTCAAACTCCTTCAGCAGCTGCTGCAGCTCCATGCTGATCTCGAGGTTGTTACGGGAGCTGCAGGCTGAGGCAGCTGGGCTGATGACGTGCCATGCCTCTTGCTGGGCTCTTTCGGGGGAGCCCGGCTGGATCTGCACTGGTGACATCCTCCACTCCTTGAAGGCCCTGCTCTTGAGCCGGTTGGCATATCTGGAGTGGAGCTTCCAAAATGCGCCTCTCCCTGGTTCGCTCTTCTCCCGGGTCACCTTGATGAAGCACTTGTTGATGCAGAGGTTGTGCCGGATGGAGCTCTAGGTCCAAAAGAGAAGAAAACCCAAGGCTGAATGTTTGTCTGCTGGCGTGAGAGGGACCTACCTGTGTGGGGAGGCTGGTGCAAAAGCAGGTTTTCAGCAAGGCCCTTTGGGAAAAGAAAGCAGGAATGGCAACACCAGGACATCTCGGGCTACGTGCCCTCCAGAAAATCCTCTGAATGTGCCTGAAGTGCAGCAAATAATCAGAAAGGAAACTCAGCTGTTGGGTAAATAACCCAGCATTGGGCTCCCCAAAGCCAAGCCAAAGCAGCCAGCTCCTCCTCCCAAAGTGCTCACATAGTTCCCCTGGCACAGGAGAGGCTGGGGAACCCAAGTGGCCCTGGAAAGGAGGAGGGACCGTCCGGGGTTCTCTTGCCTGTGATGAGCTTCAGGAACCACTGGAGACCCAGCTGCCTGGGGAGAGGGTGGGTAACTCCTGGGCAGGGGGCTTGCATTGGGTTTGCCCGGTCTTGGCTGGGGCAGCACAGCCAGCCAGGATCATGGGAACACTGTGGATTTGGGCTGGCAATAACCAAGCGGGAGGATGAGCCACCCACAGCCCTCTTGCCCTGCCCTCTGCTAGAAAGCCTCACGTGCCAGAGTGGCCCACATGTGACCTCGTGTGATGGAGGAAGGCAGCAAGCCCAGGTGGCTGGGAAAAGCTGCTGTGGGGAGGGCTTCAGGCTGTCCCCAAAGCTGGTAAGCCTGGGGCTGTCCCCTCCCTGCTAGGGACACACTTGTGCTAGCTGGGGACAGCAGCCTTGTTTGACCCCTCTTGGTCTTCCCTCTGCAGGTCTCAGCAGCTTTTCCCAGCGATGGAGCCTCCTTGGCTGTCTGAGGGGCCAGGAGACCAGCCCTGTGCCCTGCTTGGAAAGCAGCAGCGCTTCATCTGGGAAACTCCCCAGTGAGTGACTTGTCCAACAAACAGCATCTCCATGCCTCTCCTGTGCCTGGTCCTCAGCACCCAGGGATACTCAGTGTGGTGACTTTTTGCACGTGTGCTCAGCCCTGAGGGACTCAGGACCCCACCAGCGTTCCAGAAAGGTAGGGACTGAGAGGCCTTTGCCACAGAACCAAGAGGAGCCTCAGGGGCTGGGAGCCCAATGGGTACCTCCCAGCTCCCAAAATGGCCCCCAGCTCTCCCCCAGGAGGGCTCCTTCCCTCTGTCACCCCGGCAGCCCTGGCATTTGTGCCCAGCCAAGTTCTTTCCCGTTCCAGCCCTTCCCCACCAGCTGCCGGGGCCACTCTCCTCCCTGTGGGATCCAGAATCCCTGTGGGACCTTGTCTTGCAGGGTGGAGGCTGTGGAAAGCCCTGCCCATCCCTGTGTGGAGAGGGGCCGAGGCAGGAGGGCTGCAAATCTCCTACCTGCCAGGTGGGATCAGCAGGTTGGAAGTAGCAGAAGTTGTCACTGATCCACTTGCAAATGGCCGAGAGGGTGATCTTGGGCTTCTTGCTGGCTTCCATCGCCATGCAGATGAGGGTCGCGTAGGAGTAGGGTGGCCTGACGTGCGGGTTGGTCTTGTAGTTGATGTTCCCCGTGAGCTGAGAGGGCTCAGCCGCGTCGTGGTGCGTCGTGGTGGTCATGGAGGTGGAGGAGGAGGAGATGGCCGTGCGGGGAATGTCGATGTACTCGCACAGCTCCTCAGCAGTCAGGGGAAAGCCTGGGGACTGAAAGTCCACCAGACTGACCAGATTTTCCCAGATGGTGCAGCGGTCCTCGGGGTCCTCAGATATGGGGGGCAAGCCGATGTGGGCGCCTGTGAGGTTAACCAGCCACGTGAGGTCTGGCTCGCTGCCAGGCCTGTCTTCCTTGGTGGAGCTCGACTGCCCCTGAGCTCTCAGCACAGGGCTGGAGCACACCATGCCTTGGCACGTCACCGGGTGCATGTGAAGGGGAGGGAATGGACGGGACAGATCCTGCAAGAACAAGAGGGAGAGGGTTGAGGTTCCCTGAGGCACAGTCGTTCTCTGGCACCTGGGCAGGGCCGGGCCTGAGTGCTCCAGATGTCACTGGGCAAGACCCATCCCTGGAGTGCTGGGCATGGGAGCTGCAACATCTGCCCTGGGGGTACTTTAGCAGCCCTGGCCCTCGGGAAAATTCCCTCAAACCATCGTGCTCCCAGTGCCACCCAAACTCCAGTGGGCTGGTGCTGCCCAGCAAGCTTTTGGCTGAAAAACCAACAAACCCTCCCCACAACCAACCAAAATCCGGCCCTGCCATCCCACCGAGAGAGGTCGTTTCTCCCACCTGTTGTGAGCAGGGCAAACTCTCAGGGTCTTAACACCTCGGCTAAAGACCCTAAAGTCTTCATCTGGTCCGTCCCATCCCCACAACCTGCTTCCCTCGGTTTGATGCTGATTATGCTTCTCCCTTCCCCTGGTGCCCCAAACCAACCCGGGTGTGGGGGGGCGCAGGGACCCACGCCAAGCACAGCGTCACTTGGAGCCAGCCGGCAGCTCCAGGCTTTGGGGAATACCGGGCAGGGGATGCGGCGCTGGCTCCGGTGCCGGGCTGCAAAAGCGGAGTCCCGTGGTGGATCTTGGGCCGCGA